AGTGGACTGCAGCAAATGTTGGAAGCTGGCGATGGTAGCTTGTATGATAAGATTCAAGGTCTTCAACAGTGAAAATACCCAAGTTTGCAATTAGTTCAATTTTCTGAAATTCTTCATTGTTGTACTGAAGGAGCTCTTTGACTTCCAGGTTTGGTTGTTGCACAGGCACATGAAACAAGCTGTAAATATGGTTTCCCTTGAGAATTAGCTGGCTGTAGAGAGGAATTACCTGTGATAGATCTTGAAGTTGTTGAGGAATGAAAATTTACCTTCAACAAAATGGCATCCAGTTAGCATAGCAATAACTGTACAGGCATTACTTCCAATCAGACTCCCTGCTATGGTTGATTGGCAAATATTTGGAGGCAAGAGCCACTCAGTAACATCCACATGCTGGTTTGTGGTTACAGTTATTTGGTATGCTGGAGCTCTGGTGGAGTGTCTCTCCGTGTGTAGTTTTCCTTGTGCTATGAGCAGTTGCATCTCGAGAAACTATTGCCTGAATTCACTGTGCAGACATTGTTGGGACAAAAATCACATTTAACCTGTGACCTGTTTGATCTTTTGTGTCCACAAACGGGATGGTGCCATTTTCTGCAGCGTAGAGGGACCTTAGTTGTAGTTTCACTGGTGTTGGAAGCAGCTCTTGAGAGTCTTTGGTTATTGCTGGAAATTGGGAATGGTTGTGAAGTTGGATTAAGACTTGCAATTTCATGATTAAGCTGTCTTAGAGTATTTTGATATTCATCTTTCTCCATTTCTCTTGCAGTTGTAGTTTCAGTGGGTGAATCTAACCCTGAGTCAGATCTTTCATTTTCAATGTCCTGGCTCACAGCTGGTACTGGTACTTCACTGCTTGAATTAGGATTAAGAATATCTTGTTTTGCAGTTTGACCAAGTTCTTGAACTTTTTTTTTCAGGAAGTCCTTACATAAGGGATGTGAATTTAAGCCATTCAAGCAGGTATTGTGGAAGGAATGAAAGCAACCTGTTAAAACTTTCCAGTCATCATTTTGGGCAGACATCATACATTCAGGTAAGTCACATTGCTCAGCTGCATCAGGTTTAACGTTACCTTGATACCCAAGAGGTAAAGCAGTACTCTTGATGGGATTGTTGGCACAGATTGTTGGAAATTTTACTTGAGTAGTTGTATTTCCTTCTGATGAGAGTGAGCTTTGTCCTTGTGTTGTAGCAATTCTAAGTACTTGAGCACATTTGACTTTGAGAAACTGTACTTGGTTCTATGAAAATGAAAACTGTGATGGTGATGTGAAAGCTGATCTAAAGGTAGCTTGTTGTTCCCTAGATTCAAAAACTTGTTTGGCTTTATTTCTCAATTCATTGGCACTGTCAGAGGGCTTCCTTTCGGAACGTAGAATGCTGTGGGTATTTTCAACAGGATACTCATCAAAAATTGTTATATAGGTACGAAGAAGTTTATAAAGGTGGGGTGAATGCTTTCCCCAGTGTGAGCACATGTTAAGCCAGACAAGTGGAGCTTTGTTGTAATGAGAACGCTTAAGGCAGGTGAGCATAATCCACATTCGAATCATCACTCTGAAGTATTCTGAAAAATTATTAAGTTTAAAAGAAATGCTGTAATTAGAAAGAACTAAGGGTATGTAGTTGTCCAAAAGATTAAAAAGTGTTCCATACTCGGGATCTTTAAATCGCCAAAACTTTTTCGTCACAGATTCTCATATTAATGTCCATCCTCCGTAAATGATTTCTAAGAGCAAGGTGATCCTCCAGTGTTTTGGATTGGCTGCCAGTTTTGATCAAATAAAAATGCATTCATACGCTGTTTTGAAAAATGGATGGAAGGAAGTAACAATGTGTTCTCTACTGTTTAAGGATATGTGGAGAGGACCTATCATTGGAATCACAGAGAGAATGGAGGGCTGAGAAGACAAGTTTGATGGCAAACTTTGCTCATTGTCAGAACCAGTGAAGGATGGATAAGAATATGCCGAATGATCTGATGCAGCTTGAGGGTTTTCACAGTTGACTTGATGAGGTTGCTGATAGCTGATAAACTTCTTCACACACTGATATATTATTTGGC